GAAAATAAGACAGGGTCTTTTCTTTTGACTCAGTGTTGGAGCATTCACAACTTCTGGAGGCAAGTTGTTCCACTGATTAATTGTTCTTACTACCAGGAAATTTTCCTTAGTTCTAAGTTGCTTCTCTCCTTGATTAGTTTCCACCCATTGCTTCTTGTTCTACCCTCAGGTGCCTTGGAGAATAGCTTGACTCCCTCTTCTTTGTGGCAACCCCTGAGATATTGGAACGCTGCTATCATGTCTCCCCTAGTCCTTCTTTTCATTAAACTAGACATACCCAGTTCCTCCAACCGTTCTTCACATGTTTTAGTCTCCAGTCCCCTAATCATCTTTGTTGCTCTTCTCTGCACTCTTTTTCAATCATCACTCAATCAATCATACAACCAACCAACCAACCAACCACATTTTACAGCCTGGCACCCTTTTCAGGATACTGGGCTGTGACTTTAAGTCACACAATTCCTACTATGGTAATCAGTGTAACCAAATATATTGATTACTATGATAAGCAGTATAACCAAAGGTGCTTTTACAACGGTACTTTCTGTTTTTTCTTCAAAGATGTTTCACTTCTTATCCAAGAAGATTCTTCAGCTCTTCTGAATAAGGAATTTTGACTTATTTCTCACTTTCCAACTCTAGTTCATTCAGACCAGTTCAGGGACCTCTTGGAACAGAGTTTTGGTAGTTTGCTGATATGCCATCAAGGTCCATCCCCTCCCACCTTGGCTTCTCTGCATTTGTTAACAGTTTCAAAAAAAGGTTTAACTAATCTTGCAGCTGCCCCATTAGAAGATATATTTTATAAACTGACCCTCCAATACATATTTTTATTCATTTACATTTCATGTTTCTAGACTATCCATCTCCCTCAAGGATTATATGGATTGTGCATATACAGGGAGAAGGAATGTTAGAAATGGTCATGCTTCTATTCTCTGTGAAGAATGATAGAAGAGCTATTGCTGAAAACGCAGAACAGTGGCAGGTGGGTAGAGTAATAAGTACAGTGGTTAAGTAGAAGAAATGAGCATTGATTGGTTGCTTTACACCAACACCCATCTTATTTCCTTTTTTTTTAATGGAATCCTTGGAAAACCCAGTTCATCTTGCAAAATATTGTGTGCAATTGGAGAGACAACAGGGAAGCAAACAATCATGAGATAAAAGCCAGGAAGACAAGCAAGCATGAAATCAGCATAGCAGGATTTATTTGCAGTTCATAAATGGCAACACACAGTATGGAAAGGCTTTAAGAATGTGCAATTCTGCTTCCTCTGCAGTTTATATTCATTTTGTCACTCTTTATTTCCTTGTCAATGTAGTTGGTTATTCAATCTTTTCTTTGACCATTACATTGTTCCACATTGAAGTGTCCAAGAGAAAATGCCTTAGAACAAAATAATCATTTACAACAACCTAAAAACACCAATGGTGATTATTTTCAGTTAAATTAGGTTAGCTAATTAGCTAAATTAACTACCGGTAAGTGGTTGTTAAGAAAATGGCTCTTCTCTGAAAATGCCAATACTCTATGTAAGTTTGAAATAGAAAAACAGTGGCTCACATGAATTCAGGATAATGCCATAATTAAATTATAAAAGTAAACCAAAACAAATACCATATTCACAATCCAGACAACATGTAAAAGGTTTTGAAATTCACCTGCTTTCGATGAGAGCTATCTAAAGGTTCCTAAAATAAAATAAAAATAAATCTGACTGCAAATATGTTTTCAAAGCTTTTAGAAGCATTTCCACCAGATAGGCAATTGAGTTTATTATGATGATTAGTCTCTCAAGCACAACTCTAACCATCACTGATCCATGTGTTCGTTGGATTTGTAAAGGAGGCCCCTTCTCTCCAATACAACTGATAGTGATAAGAGTCCTCTACTCCTTTTGATAAGGGCAGAGACACAGCTTATATGAACATGCATACATATGTGTGTGCATGTATTACAACAGGAGCCATCAATTTGAAAGGGAGACGTTTTTTAATGTAAGAAGTAACATTCCTCTGCTCACAACAGAATACCCTATGCTACCAGGCTTGAAATGTTGGGCTTGGAAAACCTAGAGCTACACTGCCTACTGACCTAAACATAGTTCACAAAATTATCCGCTACAAAATCCTACCTGTCAAGGATCACTTCGGCTTCAACCACAATAATAGACAAGCAAACAATAGGTACACACTCAAGGTAAACTGCTTCCCAAACTCAATTGCAGAAAATACAACTTCAGCAACAGTGGTTAATGCCTGGAACGCACTGACTCTGTTGTTACATCCCCAAACCCCCCCATAATTTTAACGTTAAACTGTTTACTGTTGACCTCACCCCATTCCTAAGAGGTCTGTAAGGGGTGCGCCTAATGTCCCTGTCCTACTGTCCCCATTTATTTGTACCCATTTACTGTGTTCATACTTATCTTTATACTTATACCTGCTATCTTTTCCATGTTTGACAAACTAAATAAATAAAATAAAATAAATAAACTTGCTCAATATCATCAAAAGATCCTGTATTTGGGGGTCAATCAAAGGAATAGCCCCCAGAGGGGGGGGTGGAGAAACACTGATCTGGAATATACAAACTTAATTCCAAAGAAACAACTAGGAAAACAATTGGACACAGGCACACAATCATGCAGAATGGAACAATATACTGACCTAGGTCTTACGTATAAAACCATTATAATATAAGGAAGGGGAAAGCACTTTGGGTGTTTTTATTTCATTCACCTTAACAGTTCTTGTGTCCTTTGAAATTTTTCCCACCACAACCCAACTTTTTGTCTCAATAATAAGCACAGCTTGACATGACTGAAACTTCTACTCACTGGAATTGAGAAGAATCATTGCCTTGACACAGATATATTCTTTGTGCTGCAATTTCAGCTCTCGAAGCCTTGAAGTTGTTGCCAAGAGCATGTCAAAGATTTCCAAAATTCCTTCTACACATTTTCCCTCATCCCTAATTTGAAAATAGTCAGAGGATTACTTGACATACAAAGCATGCTTTCCATCAAAATACTGCATTTTATTCCAACATATAGTCATATTTTGCCTCTACTAAGTGGTTCATATTTTAAGTACACTATGCATATTTTAAGCATTAAATGTTCAACACAATCTTTGTTCATTTTATAAAAGGTGAAATCATACCTTCATTACAAGCTAACTCGTGATCATATCCTTTTAACTTTCTTCTTTCAGCAATTTCTCTTTCTTTCTTGTTGCTCTGATGCTTAAAACGTCCTCCTAAAATAACTATATTTCTTTCAACCTAACATCCCACACATATTTCTAGAATGACCAAAAATTCCAGCCTTGTTTTGACTAGTGAAATCACAATTGTACCTCTCTACAGTTTCTTGCTATCCAAAAAAGCAGTAGTTAAAAAATGGTTTGTGGCTATAAAAAAAGATTGTCCAGCCTAGCGCTAGATTGCCACAAAGTACTTTCTATAGCCTTTCCAGTTAACTCCAACTGAGCACTTGTTCAGGAATTGGTGAAGCTTTTTTTAATATCATTGCCAGTAAATCTGCAGGAGGGGATGAACAGACCTGAACTGAATGTTAATCATGATAGTTCATGCAGGAGAAAATATTCGGGCCTTCCTGAATAGAGTAAAAGATTGTGTTTGCTTGTTAATGCATTTTCATTCAAATCTTAACTTCCAAACATACATGCGAGTAAAACAATACTTATTTCTTACCTGTCAAGCACAAGATCTGGTGCAAATATGAGCTTTCCTGGGTGATCAATGGATCTCCACATTAGACCCACCATTAATACTTCCAACCAACAGCTTTCCAAAAGCCTTACTTGATCATATAGACTCAGCTCTATGAAGCCTTTAAAAGAAGGGGGAAAGGAAAGAAGGCATACTTACATCATGAATACCCAAATATATACACCTTTCCTGGCTTCCAGAACAATATAAATTCTTTAAAATTCAAAGTCATTTTCTTGAAATTAGGAAATCCATGACCTAAATTCTTAGAAGTTTGTCAACTGTTGATTCCAAGTGGTAGACCCTTCCTTCCTTCATCCACTATTTATATTGGGTGGCAAAACATATATCCCTTTATAAATGGGATTTATTCATAAATAAATACATCCTGGATGGTTATTGCAAAGGATTCTACCAGACATGTTAAGATTTTGTAAAAACAATAACCTGAAGAACAAAACAGCAAGGATAAACCAACCAGAACTACAATCATCCTGTGCCCAAGGCCTGAAAGGACCACCAAGTCTTTAACAATTTCCTAAATGACATAATTGTACACCAGAGGGTTATAGTTCCAGACAATATGGGTCACGGATCCCAAGAGGCAACATTGTTTAATTGATGGAACATATTTAACATCACTTGTTTTTTATTAAGTCAATCCTCTACATACCTTAAATGCTATGGTATTGATGGGGACAATGCAAGATTTAAATCACAAAACTGTATTTGACCCTACATTTATGACTTGAACAGGGATTTCACTGTTTTGCCTACACTTCTCATTTCTTCTCCTATAACTGAGGACTCAATATTTCATGTTTTTTAGAATCCACATGAATCAGATTAATCAGCCTTTGGGGGAATCTTCAACATTCTCTTCTGCATTTCATTTGTAATTTTGTATGCTCTTCCCGTAATGGAGTGAGCTCCCGTTACTTGTCCCAGCTTCTGCCAACCTAGCAGTTCAAAAGCATGTAAAAATGCAAGTAGAAAAATAGGAACCACCATTGCTGGGAAGGTAAGAGCATTCTGTGAGCCTTCGGCATTTAGTCATGCCAACCACATGACCACAGAGATGTCTTTGGACAGTGCTGGCTCTTCAGTTTTGAAACGGAGATGAGCACTGCCCCCTAGAGTTGGGAACGACTAGCATATATGTGCGAGGGAATCTTTACCTTTACCCTATGCGCTTCCCATTTTACTTCCAGACTAATATACATGTAGCTACCTGATATCTATTATTCACTTAGATAAATGATGAGTGATAAAGAAACCAACTGCTTATCTAAAAGTTCTTTTTTAGGAACATGAAGAGTGAATGCATGTAAAAAATTTAATGGTAGACTATTTTTATACTTTTGACATAGGGTTAAATCAATCTGCAGACAATAACAAAGTCTCCCTTTTGCACGATACCACACATTTTTAGGTTATGAAGAAAGACAAAAATAATAGAAGGAAATACATACAAAAATAAACCACATTTCTGCAGAGTAAGAAAATATCTTTCCCAAATCTCAGCAGAGCAGCACCAAGCTTTGTTAGCTATTTGTTTGTTTGTTTATTAAATTTATATGTCACCCATCTTTCTGTCCAATGTGATTCTTTAAGCCTTTACCATGCATTGCCAAACCTTCATCTGTTACACTGAGGGGTGGGTTGCTGCAGGTTCTCACCAGTTCAGGAGAACCTCTAGCTAAGAATCTGCCCAGTTCAGAGAATCTGCAAATCTCACCCCCTTTTAGGTTTCTTATTCTTAAACTAATTTGTGCTTTTTCTTGCCAATTGTTGTAAGTTAGTTCAAAGTCTTCCAAAACCTTTTGGCGCAGCCCTCAAAATTTCTCAAGACTTGCCACCAAATTATAAATGCTTTTGAGATAAAATATTAAAACTCCTAAATAGTAAAACTCCTAAAAACTCCTAAAACAACTATAAACATAAGTTGAGTTTATTACTTTTATTTTATTTTATTTAAATCCAACACCTTTATCTTGACATCATTGGTGGGATTCAAATTTTTTTACTACTGGTTCTGTGGCCGTGGCTTGGTGGGTGTGGCATGGCATGGTATGGCTTGGTGGGCGTGGCAGGGGAAGGATACTATAAAATCTCCATTCCCTCCCCACTCCAGGGGAAGGTTACTGCAAAATCCCCATTTCCTCTGGATCAGCTGGGGTTCAGGAGGCAGAGAATAGATGAAGACAGGTCCAGTCAAAAGTGGTATTTACCGGTTCTCCAAACTCCTCAAAATTTCCANTTTTTCTACTTGCATTTTTACATGCTTTCAAACTGCTAGGTTGGCAGAAGCTGGGACAAGTAACAGGAGCTCACTCCATTATACGGCACTAGGGATTCAAACTGCCAAACTGCCGACCTTTCTAATCAACAAGTTCAGCTTCTTAGCCACTGAGCCACGGTGTCCCTCATCAAATGTAGTAGCATAGTATTAATTAATAGTAACAGGCTCCTTGAGTGAATTCCCAAAACAACTTGAACACCACTTAAACACCATCGGCCTTGATAAATTCAATTGCAATTATCAATTGCAAAAGGCAGCTTTATAGGGAGCAGCTTCCATCCTGCAATGCTACTTTTAACACCGTCAAACATCCACATATCCTAGGTCCTTGGGAAGGGCTCTATAGGCTGACAAAATTGCCAAAACCAATCTGAACATGTGGCTGACTACTCAATGGACCATAATGATAATAAAGTAATTGACAAACATTATAAGACTTTTTTTAGCAAAGATATAGCAATAGAATTTGGTCTAGAGAAATGTGCTACATTTCTAGCAATAAATTGGGGTAAAAATACAGATAGTAATGAAACTGACATGCCAAATAGCCAAACCATCAGAAGCCATCAGGATGAAGTCTAATAGTTTTCTACAGCTGGATAACATCAAACACGGTCAAGTTAAAAACAAGATTAGTAAAAAAAAATATCCAAAGAGTAAGAAAATTGCTAGACAAAACCGAATGGAGGAAACACTATTAAAGCTATCAATACTTGGACAGACGTGATATAATACAATGCTTGAATTATTAACTGGACATGAGCCAAACTGACAGTCTGGACTGAAAAACAAGAAAATTGGTGACTATTCACTATGCATTATATCCTCATAGTGATATTGATAGATTAGACCTGCCCCACAAAAATTAAGGCAAACTAACTGTTGAAGAAAAAAAAGTGTGCATTGGCTGATTATGTAAAAGGCAGCCAAGAACAAACAACAATGCAAGTTAAAAATCAGAACTTATTAAATGTTCAGGGAACCAAAAATGAATATCAAAATAATATAATAACAAAAATAGAATGCTGACAAGGAAAAGCATTGCCAAGGTCAATGGCTACAACAGGTTTAGGGGGAAATGGATAAAAATGAAGTCTGGCAATGGCTTGTAACTAAAAAAAATTAAAAACTGAAGGGTTGATTTTAGCTGTGCAAGAACAAGCTATTTGAGCTAATGCAATCAAGGCCAGAATTGAAAAATCATCAAATGATTCAAAATGCAGATTGTGCAAAGAAGCAGAAGAAATAGTAGATCATATTTTCAGCTCATGAAAGAAGTTCACAGAAACTGATTATAAACAATGACATAACACAGTCACCAAAATGATTTACTAGGACATCTGTAAAATTATCATGTGCAAGTAATGAAAAACTGGTGGGAACATATAGTTTAAAAAGTAGAGAACATTATTAAACATTGCTGAGAACAGACGCCATATTAGCCTTGAATGAAAAAAATAATAATAATTTAATGTCTATTCTGAGGCAGTAGCTGTGAAGATGAACTTTCTCATTTGCAAATAATCTTTCTCAAAAATCCACAAAAAACGTGGTGAGGGTGTGGAAGTGGAAAAGAGTAGCAGGAGGGGAAAGTGTTTGTGTTTAACCCACGTTTCCAACCTTATTGCAGTTACAAAGTATATGAAAATTGCAAACACGATTACTGGATCTTATCAAGTACTAAATGTACCTGAACAAAGTTTTCCTAATAAGTAGGAACAGTTCCCTCCCATAGTTTTCCTCAAATATCCTCTTGGCCCATAATACTACACAACTGAGACCAAAGAAGTAGCTGAAAGGTGATGTGAAATGTTATGTACAGAGCTCCTAATTAGTTTTTGTCTCTGCACTGTGAGCTATACCTCTGAAAGTAAGCCATAACTTAGTTCAGGAAAATCTCAAGTTAGGAGGCAGGAGTTCTGATATTCCTAATTGTCTACTAAATTCAAAGAACACAGTTTGCATTATAACACAAAATGCATCGTTTGCAACATAATTCCATAAATGCGATTTGTGTTATTTTGTAAAAATGTCATTATGCAAAAAACATTATTTGCCATCACTTAATTTAGCTATCTAATGTAGATAGGTGCAACATTATCTACATGGGGGATGGGGGGATGACTGGACAGAAATCTAATCCACTGCATGTGAAGTCCACTAAATAGGGGTCCATTAAATCAGAGATAAAATTTACAGACTCTTCCAAATCTCCCTGCTCATTCCAGCCAGATCAATTTGTTTCTGGTTAGCTGGCAACCCTAGTTATATGAACGTGCATGAGTTGGAAAGGCTGTCTTTTGATGGGCTGATAGCTGAGAAGGTTGCCCTTTCCAGGGTGAAAAGTGAGACCCAATGAGAAGAAAGAAACAGGCAACAGAATGACCTGAGTCACTGCAATTTATAGGCATCACTTTTGGAGTCAGCTCTACAGGGCTTAGAATGGGAGGGCAGCAGATTGGCAGTTTTCCAGGCAAGTAAAATGAAGTGTTAAATGTTTGGCGTGTTTAGTAGCTGTGAGGTCAGTTAGACCTACACTGGCACTTCAGACACTGTGATGTAAAGGTGGAGAAGTTAAGCTATTCAAAGCTATTCAAAAAAAGAGTTTGCACACTGCTATGCATTTGCAAGGCAAGTTTGTATTCTTCTGTCTTTATTTCACATACATACAGATCAGTGGTGGGATTCAAATAATTTAACAACCGGTTCTCTGCCCTAATGACCAGCTGGGTAGGCATGGCTTGGTGGTCATTTGACTGGGTGGGTTTGGCCAACTCAACATCACTCAGGTTGATGGGCACTTTGCCTTAGCTGTTACA